GGGAGAGGGCGAGAGAGAGAGAGAGAGTGAGAGTGAGTGAGACAGACAGAGAGAGAGAGAGGGGGGGGGAGGGGGGAGCCATCAGCAACACTAAACTAAGGATGACCAAGGCAGGAAGTGAAATCAAGTGGTTCAAGAGTCTAGCCCGACTGACACAACGGTTAAACTCGTTGAGGACTGTACTCATCCCACTCTTTGACTCACAACTGTGTTTGTATATCACTCACAATACTGATTGCACCATCTCACCAAAACAACAACATCCAACAGTTTCAATAATTCACTGACGCATTAACCTTATCCGTACACCCTGGGGTCATTTTGCATCCCCGGGGTTGTATTCTTCACATTTAAGAAAGCTTCCAGTACGAAGATCTCTTTGAAACTTTCAGTATTTCTTTTAAAAAATCATTTTGACAGACTGCTAGGCGAAGCGTAACTGACCGGATTAACGAGCAGAGTTACCCACGTTGTATGAATACAATATGCGACGTACGGAGAGGGTTAACTAAAACACAGAGTTTCATTAGCACGGTTCCTCACAGACAATTGACTCATATTATCTTACATATTGTCAGTCAAAGTACCAGTCGTACCATCTCATTGAAATATTGTTTTAACAGTTTCAACAACCTTAGTTGTTATAGATGTAGCAAGAGTTTTCCTGCAATTGCAACACAATTAGGTCATATAAGCTGAAGATTAAAGGTGTTACATGAAAAAAATACAAAAAAGAAGGAGTGAAGGAAAATGGATGCTTGATAGGAATGAAGGAGCAAACCACACAAGAGCACCTGCCAACCACATACACTAGTAAGTCAAATTTTAAGAAATATTATAATAAGAAATCACCTAAAATAGGAAAAGACATGCGGACTGTGGCCAAAGTTGACTCAGAATGTAATGAAAGACTGTGACATCATCTCAGCAAACTAAAGACAACCAGTACTATAAAACATGAGATTGCAGTGGCTGAGCGGTTAGTGCGCTTATCTCCAAAGCGGAAAGTCCGGGTTCGAGCCTCAGTTTGGACACGCATTTTTTTCGCCCCCTCCTGCCCACCCAGCAGTATTGGGTACCTGAAGTTTCGAGTTGGGGAAGTAAAGGCGGCGTGGAAAGGAACTGGCCACCCTACCATATTATGCCAAAGGCCCAGGAAGTTGTCTCACTAACAAGGCAATCCCTAATGTCCGGATGGGAGGCGGGAACAACGTTGCGTTACCGTAAAATATGCCCAGATAAACACATTATATAACATTGACATTGCATAGCCCAGACATAAAATTTTAAAACTAAGACGATTGAATCTACATAGAATATAAAAAACACACAAAAAAAGACACAACTGTACATGAACGCGGATTTAAAAAATCCTCACTACAGTCAGGAGGACGTGACAACGGGAACAGCCTACGCTCAGACAGGAAATGAGAACTTCGAGACCTGATTGAAATCACTACCAGAGCTCTAGAGCACGTTCAGGACTCACGCCTAGCTCATGATCACAACAACAAGGGGAGACTACGGTCCAGGATATATATAACAGCTATCCACTTAACACTGTAAGTACATACAGCAGCTTCAAATTTTAGAGGGTTTACACCACCCACACAGCAAACAGACATAAAACAGACACAGACAGCCTTCCATAAAACTTTCCTCCATCACAATATGACACAACATGTGATGGGTGAGGGACATTTAGTAGTAGTAAAGAGTAGATTTTTTATGAAGCAACGACAAAGGCTTTACTGAGAACTGCGACTGCACTTAGATAAAACCCAGTTGATCTAGTGTTCAGAAGGATGCACAGCATGTGAGTTCAGGCAGGTAACCCTCTCAACACTTGAGATTCTCAATAGAATTACAAAACTACCATCTTTTCTCCCACTCGTTGTAATGATGATGTGTCACGATGCAATGAAATCAGGGGCTCGTTCACTTCTTGGACATATTTGGAGATACTGATATAAATATTTTCAAAGCTTGTTTATTTGTCTTGATTTTGACGGAGACAAAAATTACAAGGTATCTTGAACGGATGTCGAGATATTAATTGTGACTGATGGAAGTGGGGGACCCCTGACGTCAGAGGTAAAATTAGTGAGAAAATGATTGACAAAGTTTAATGACTTTCACAGGTTGAGAGTCCTTGAAAACTTCGAATTTACATATATTTTTATGATTTTGATCAATGTTTTCAGTTAAATCCCCACATGAATGTGTCTGGTTTCAATGAATAAAAATGGTGTTGAGCCAAAAAAGAACACAAATTCGATGATATAAAGATTGATTGCCTTATTCACAAAATAATTTTTAGTTTCTTTCTCATATTAAATTTCATTATTTTGACAAATCTAATTTCATCACAATGCCACACACATGATGTGTATACATTCACTGCAACATGCTTAGGCATACAATAAACAATTCTTTTGAATTTTCTTCAACACTGATACAGAGGTGCAGCTAAAAAAACCAAAAAAAACATTCCAATTATAATGTCCTCCTACTATAAAAGTAAGCACAACTCATCCCTGCTGTCATGTCACATGATGAGCAAAGCCTGAGAATTTATAAGCTGAAAAACTCTTTAGTATCAGGTGAACAGGTTCATCTAGCAGACAGCATCGCTCTGTTGTCTACAGACATACACTACACACCGTCAATCTAGGAAACACTAGCAAATCTTTCTTTCTTAATAAAGTATAATCGAACTCTCATCATGATGTTTATTTATAAAACTGAATGGAGCATTCATGAATTTCTTCTCAGTTTGGTCTTCATTTCATGTAAGTAGATTAAATTATTAAAATATGAGCGAAGTTATTTATTTATAACGTACTTTGTCAAGCTGAAAATTTGGCCAAAAAAACTGACTCTGCGTAATTCTAATACAAATACTCCAACTGGGTTAAAAATTAAAAAGATGAATCTAAAAACAACTGTAAATTACAAATTACATTATAATAATATGTATCTGGAATGTGGTTTCGTATCATAACGAAACATTCGTTCATAACAACATTATAATATTATATGACGGTTCATTATGACTTAAATATGACCAGCATATTTTTGCAACTTCTACAAGACTTTTCACTTCACTTTTGAGTCATCAACACACTGTTTTTCAATGTTTTTATGCAACAATCTAAGTGCATTAAATTTTAAAAAATTAGGCCTATAATACCTGCCTATAGATATATATACGATTCTTCCAGTAGTTTACAACATAATGAAGCTACAGCGAGCAGTTAGCACGTACACCTCTGTGATTGGCCCAAATATAGATGACGTATTTCCGCCATCTATTTTTGTCTTCTTCGGGGTTTCACCCAAGACTATTAAGGTTTCCCTCGCCTGTAACTGTTGAGTAGATCTCGCCGTGTTTGTTTGTTTTTATTAATTTATGTAATCTCTTATAAACAATCTCAGCAATTCTTGTTACATAAATTTACCTTCTCCTCAAAGTTGTACACACACACAGACACAAGCGTGCGCACGCACACACAACCCAAAAAGTCGGCAATGAAACCTAGTGACGTAGCCCACAGCGTGTTAAGCAGCAAAGCTGGCCCGCCGCGGTGAGACCTAGTCAACACTGGCAAAGGAAGCCCCAGAAGTCGACAAAAATAGATGGCGGAAATACGTATATATATATATATAGGCCTAATTGGACTAATAACAGAGGTGTGTGCAAGGTGCTCGCTGTAGCTTTGTCATGTGTTACATATAGTTTACAACTGGATAAAAAAGTAGGCCTATTGGCCTCTAAGCTCTAAGCTCCTGAGAAAATGAATGCCCATCCCCATAACGATCCTTCGCACAGCACATGCCCAAATTCCAAGTCCAAAAGTTACCCCCCCCCCCCCCAACCACCACCAACTCCAGTTACCAATGGAATTCCATCCCTGAGTGTGAATCACCATGCCTGTGAACTGTGATTTATAAGCAATTCAATGTCAATACTCAGGCATTCACAACGTAGAACCTTATCCCCATTCTCCAAAATATCCCAGATCATCATTCTTTTACTCTTTTTGGTAGAAATTTATACTTTTACTTACGACAGGAGGCCTTGTAAATCAAAGCCGAAAACACATACATGAACTAATCTAGAATCTTCAAAAATATGAAGAACCCCTTACCATTTATAAGTAAAACAGCATTTTATCTCCTAGATGTTTATGAAAGTGCCCCCCCGGTTGTTGGATGTAGCCCTAAGAACCGAGAGCTTACCCCATAACAGTGATAAACAGAGATCTACGAAGTTCAATTTAGTAGATTTTTGTGTTGTTGACAGGCAAAACAGTTTTCATTTTCTCACAAAGAAATGATTCAGATTCTAAATTCTGAACCTCCTTCTTGAGAAAGAACCTTTTACTCACTCTGCATCTTCATAGAGAGTATGGGAGTAGTCTATGTCTCCGGATTCAGGGGCTAGTATACCCTGCCATAGTAGAGCTCGATAGATTTTGGGTAATGAATCAGAGGTGTAACTGTAATCATCGATTGATTGTCAATGCATTTCCGTGTTTTTCCTGAATTATCTGATTGACTAGTCAACTTCCGCACAGCAAAGTTCACGACCTCTTTCAACAAGGACCGATAACTCTGGAACAATCAACCAGGTGACTTCAAAGCAGGAAGTAAAATAATATTTTTTCCCCCATTCTTCCGTTTTCCGTTCATGGTGTTTCGCAATGTTAACAGTTCAAAAATTATTATAATCATCTGTCAGAGCTGTTGCTATGTTCTGAGCATGTTTGCGATGGTTCCAGGTGTTTGATCATCCATAAAAGAGAAGCCATCGGCAGAGAA